CAAAAAGGATAATATAAGTCGCGGGGAGGCGGTCGCCTGATGCGGCGAGCTTCAGGCCGATCGTGTACGTCGAGCAGGTTGAAGTAAACTGCGATTCGTCGTGTTTCTTGACGAAGAGGACGCTTAAAACGCTCGACCGACGTGACGTAAGAGCGCCACAGTTCCACAGATACACCTCGACCAACCCCGATTTATATGACGTTGCCGGGCATCAGAACGTTCCCCGACGTGAGTGGACGTTGGTTCGCTCGTCTATTATAATCCAGAGAAAGAGAGAGTGCGCGAAGAGTGGAGTGAGAAAGACAACGAGAGAGACGGCGAAGTTAGACTAGTGTGGACTGGTGACTGGATTCACCTAACCCATCGTCGTGACCGGGTGCTAGAACTCGAGAAGGCGCTGGCTTGGACTTTTATCGGCAGATCTTATCGATGGTGCGCGAGAAACCGATCGGCCGTGAGCGCGTCGATCCTCATCATCGGCCGTGAGATCATCATGCAAACATTATGACGGACGTCCGCCCTTGTCGTGACACGAAGAACCCTCCCAGCCGCCCGCCCCGCGCTCTTCCACTGGTACCGCGCGAACACGGCGGTGAGGTTGGAAAACCAACCAAGGAATAAGAAGAAGAAGAACACGGCGAGGGAGTCGCGGAGGATGCACGAGTGTGAGCGCGAGTCGCAAGACGTCGGTGTGTGAAAAGCCTGCGGGATCCGGACGATAGGTCGCCGTGATTTTGCTCGAGTGTCGAGACCGCCCAGTCAACCATGAAGAAGCAGTTTTTCCGGGTGAAGCAGCTCGCCGATCAGACCTTCTCCAGGTAGCTGAGTCAGCTAGAAATCCACCAATCTGCATCACTGTTTTCCGTTTCCCCTAATTTTACCTGTATATTTACTTGCTAGCAAGAGACACATGGTTCTTTCCAACAACAGACGTAGCGTAACACAGTGATCATTTCTTTGTTCAATGTTCAGAAACAAGGAGGATGTAATAATTCACTGTGTTACATTGTATCATCTGTGTCTCTTGTTGGAAAGCACCTATAGATGCCACAATTTATCACAGTGAATCATTTTATTTTTTTGTTTAATATTAACAAACAATAAGGGTATAATGATTCACTGTAGATACTTTTTATTTGATGATACACCAACATGATATGTCAACATGAGTATCGTTCTATCTTTATTACTCATGGAATGTCAAGAAACATAGAACGATATTTGTATATTGATTTGTGTCAATAATCCTTGTTTCTACCAATATAGTTTAATTTTAATCTTGATTTAATTAACTCTGCATCTTTTTCTAGTTCTAAGAATTAGAAAAAGATGAAAAGTAAATTGAATCGAAATTAAAATTAACTTATATTGATAGAAATGGATATAAGGGTGTTTTTCAGCAAAAGATAGAAATGAAAAAGTATAACATAGTAAATCATTACATCCTTGTCGTTTGCTAATGTTAAACAAAAATGAAATATTTCATTGTGTTACACTGTGTATTCTCTATATCTCTTGCTGGAAAACATCTAATATATGGAAAGTACCATGTATTACATTGGCTACATTCAATTTGGCTGTTCACGCGCTAAGCTTTATTCTTCTTTCATGTAATGAGCAATTAAGATACAATGAAGTGCTATTGCTATGAAAAGGAATTGAATTCCGATTAAGTAGATGTATCTTTTTCTTGTTGGAGATATATCAGAATTGTCGACAGATCATGTTCTAACAAAGAACATTGAGAGATATTCTTAAACAAAAGATATTCCAAAATAGACTTTAAAATTAATTACATGGATATTGGATAGATTAGGAATGATAAAATAGACTTCAAGGAAGATAAAAGATAAGACTTCTTGTTATCAAATGTACGATATCTCTCTCTCTCTCTCTCTCTCTCTCAGCAAAAGTTTATTTTTGATGTGAACAGATCTGGTAAAACGGAGGTGCTAACAGATGATTTAGTGGCTGCTGACAAACATGTTGAACAGATTAGAGCAGCTCTCACCTGTCTTAACAAAAGACTTGGAAATCCACCGAATCAAACTATTACCCAGGATCCGGCTCTTAAGGAGAAACGCTTGGTAAATAGAAGAATCATATTTAATTATAAAATTTTGAATACATTTAACGAACTCAACTAGCTTTTGATAATTTTTTTTAGAAGATAGCTGCTTCTTTTACACATCTACTCGTACATATTTAGTAAATATCTATTTTATATATATATATATAAATTTTGCTATGACTAAATATTTATTAGTTATGTTTTTATGTTACGTATATTCAGAAATGTTAAAATAACATTGGTGATTGACATGATTGCAGCCTTTCAACTTAATTGAAATAAATTCGAAAGGATTATTAGTTAATATGAATTGCACCTACAGTTTAAACTGGGATAAATATTGTAAATTGTCAAAATGGCTTGGGTTTAAGACTAAGTATTGATTCTTAAAAATAAACTTTTAGTTTTAATATTTATAAAAGATAGTTAATTTATATACTAACAATAATCCATGCCAAAAAATTTAATTCGAAATAAAAAATTTAAATCGAAGTATAGGTTCAGTAGTTTCTGAGAAATGTCAACCAACTTGAAAAATATGATTTCGAGAGAAACATGTTAAAAATTTTAAATACAACGATTATCAGTAAAAGCTTTTAGGAACTTATTTTTGAGATTCTAAATATTAAAAGAATGTAAAAGAAATTGATGTTTTCTCAAGTTCTAGATTAAAATGCTTCTTCCTTAAAGTATACTTATTGCTTTCATTATAAAATTCATTAAATGATTGCGCTAAAATGCTAAACATTTATTTCTTAGAAAAAATGCCCCGAATATGTACTCGGGCAAACTATGTTGGAGAATGCCGGCGAGGACGGCCTTATGAGTTTTGCGCTGGTAGAATGTGGACGAGTGCAGATGTCACTGGCTAACGAAGCCATGGAACACGAGGCTAAAGTGGAACAATATGTGGCTGCTCCACTGCAACATATTTTAGACACTGATGTACCAAATATATTGAAGCATAAGAGAAATCTGCATCGTCTTACTATGGATATGGACAGTGCCAAAACGAGATACTTTCAAGCAATTAAACATAGTACTGGTAATGATTTGTTTTTTTTCTTTGTTTTATTTGATATACTGTTATGTTATGAAATTCTTTTAATTTATTCTACAAGCGATTTATAAAGATTTTGAAATGTGTGAGATTTGAAAAATTATTATGTCAAGCTAAGGTTTATATTATATTTTATGTAGGTACTGGTGCAACAAAGATAGAAAACTTGAGGGAAGAATTAGAAGATGCCGAATCGAAAGTTGAGCAATGCCGAGATCAATTGGCAGCAGAGATGTTCCAGCTTATGTCACGTGAGACTGAATTAGCTCAGACGATTATTCAGTATGTAAAACTTCAACGAGCATATCATGAAAGTGCATTGCATTGTCTTGAAGATCTTATACCTGGATTGGAATGCTATATTAGTAAGTTTTAAATTAAATTATAAAAATGCTTTTATATAATAAAATCACAGATCGATACAACTCGTAAATAAAAGCGAAAGATGCTTATACTGCAATCACAATTATAGATGATAATGAAATGAAACCTGTTTATGGATATCCTCTTGAAGAACATCTCAGAGTAACAAACAGAAAAATCGCACTGCCCATACAACTGTGTGTATCCGCGTTACTGCGTCTGGGTATAGAAGAGGAAGGTCTTTTCAGAATAGCGGGCGCCGCCTCGAAATCACGACGAATTAAGTTAAGTCTGGATGCCTGCTGTCTTACTTTAACGACGGCTCTTGAATACAAAGATCCACATGTTATTGCCGGCGCGTTGAAATCATACTTACGGGAATTGCCGGAGCCTTTATTGACGTACAAGTAAGTATTACACCCAATCAAGATCAATAATTGTCACTGTACGCAATATAACGTCTGTGGTTATACATTAGATTGTATCCCGAATGGATGGCTGCTGTAAAAATCTCGCACAGCGACATGAGATTACGAGCTCTTTGGGAAGTATTACATAAGTTACCACCGGCGAACCTGGAAAACTTGCGGTTTTTAATTAAGTTTCTAGCTGTGCTCACGAAGAATCAAGATGTAAATAAAATGACGCCGCAGAACATCGCTATCGTCATCGCACCAAATCTAATTTGGAGTCCGCAAGAGGACACAAATACAATAGTGTAAGCAATTCTTTCTTTGTTATATGCGTGTGTACATATATCAATATTAGAAAGCTTTAATGAATGATTAACACGTTACTGTTAGGAAAATTACTCGTGCTTCTGTTATGTTTGCAGGATGAACATGAGTACAGCAAACAACTCTAGTCTTATAGTAGACCAATTAGTTACGTATGCAGATTGGTTCTTCCCCGGCGAGATGGATTTTGATCGGGATCTTTGGGGCATCGGCAACGATACAGAACATCAGACTGTCGGTATGCGCCGCTGTGTGTCTAACAGTAGTCTTAGTGATCACGGCGAAAGTCCAACGCAAGGCAGCCCGAAACCAGCAGCACGTCGAAAGAATAAATTAGCACCCACACCGCCGAGCGGCAATACTCCGGATCGGCATGATAAACCTCCACCGACACCAGACAAACCACCGAGAGCCTTGACGTCCACTTTAAATCGAGTAACGTATAAAAGTCAAAAGCACGAAGTAAATACCGAATTGATAAGACACGTAGAAAGCAATGTAGAAAAACGAGACATACATGAGAAGCATTCGGAGACGGATCCGAAATCACAGTCGGTCTCAGAATTGATTTCGACAGATGTTCATTCTGCCGATAATCCCGAACTGTTGCAAGAAACCGTCGTTCACCAAAGTGAAGTCTTCAATTATAATGAAGCAGATAAAAGTGTCCAAGAACAGCAGAAATGCGACGCAAAAGTAAATGTACCGAGTGCAAAAGAGAAACCAAATGGAAATTCGTCCGATAGTACAAGTGTTGCTAAAATAATTAGCAACATTAACCTCCATCCAGAAATGGAGCATAATGAGACTATAGTGCAAAGACCAAAACCAGTGCCTACAGAGAAACCAACCACGTTAGAAAGAAAAAGACCGGTCGCAGCACCGAGAAACATAACGAATATCGTGCATAACACAACAGGTAAAATATATTTCTTAAAATATTATTTTAATATAAAATATTATTTGATTATAATGATATCTGTGTTTAATTGTAGCAGAAGAAGGAGTCGAATTACGTAAAAAACTAGAGAGTAATCCGAACGTAACACCGAATGAAAGAATAAGCAGTAAACCGGCGATACCTGAGCGACCGCCCGGCTTAATTCGTCCGTCGAGTCTCATGAGACAACAGCCACGTTCCACTAACGATAATCTAGAAACCGATCCGGGGGTGAGTAATAATTTAACGCAGCTAAAGTTTCATCTGTACAGATATATGATAATTATTTATAAATGTAGTTACTACGGGTGGACAACAAATAACACTGCCTGGATATTACATTTTGAGATAACGTAAGCTACATGTGAAATAAAAGCTGCACCGCAACTGAAGCTTTCTCACACGTGCATATTTGCTTTCTAATGGCGTTCTGTATTATGTATATCATTATATAATAATCTATAAAACTCTAAGTCTTCTTTTCTTTTAAATCGTCTACAGCCTTTAACGCTGGAACGAGCTCATGTGTATTCCGTGGACAAACAGCAGGTCAGTATAATACAAGTGCGTGGGGGGAACAACGCCATCCCGGGCGAGAGCACTGGCAACACGGCAACTTCGAACTTGCAGAGAAGCCCAAGCGTGGGTAGCAGGCCGTCGTCGATGTCGTTATACGGCGCTGAACGTCCGGAGAAGCCCGAGAGGCCGGACGCGCCGCGTGAACAGCAGGCAAAGGCGCACGCACGCACCAGATCGGAAGGTAATATTATAGATGTGCAAACGCAGACCAATACGGTGGTGACGGTTCTCAAGTCGCCGCAACAGAAGCCAGCCTCACCGAGAATTCACCAGCGACCGCCGAGGCCGCAACCGCCGCCTCCGCCGCCGCCTACTGCACGGCCTAAATCGGATCAAGAAAGCACCAATCTCTAGCGTAGCACGATACGATACAAGAGACAATTGCGATCTTGAGTTGAGGACTTTTGAGAATTCACCGATTTATTACAGTTAAAAAAGTTCTACACATGACAATATGTCACTGACGAAGTCTATTAAGTAAATAAGAATTGTAAAAAGTTAATGGAAATCTTCAATCGATTGAAAAAACTTCGTAATCGTATTTATGTAAAGAAATAGCGCTCATTCGTCGGTGAATGAAAACGAGGCGAGTATTTTGTAGGTTTGATATAAGATTCGGACAGAGTTACTCTATTTTTTCCGTGATCTCCCTATTTGTACGATTTCTTATATCCGGTATCCAATTCGCAAGATAATCGTTAGAAGAGCATTCTGACAATTGCCATTGTATGAAAACTAGAGGAAGACCCGAGTACGCATTTTAAAGGCGTTTTGCATTCGGCAGCTATTAACACGCCGCGTGTATGTGTCATTTCCAAACTGTTTTAGGAACATATCTAATTTCATAATCGATCATAATATTTTGCAGCCTACTACTATCGACTTTTATACTTATTGCGAATAAGGAAAAACGAATTTAAGAGTAAGAACACTTCGCATTTCCACTATAAGCATTCAATAAGCGCACAAAGCTCAGTGCGTGTAATATACGTGAAAATATAATTACAGGAATGAAACTTCAACCCGCGGAACGTTAAATGACAACATTTTCACTTATAATACGAATTTGCAATCGATACGTCCATTGATAGAAAAACGAATTAATGTACGAAATAACCGACATGATCAATATGTTGGAATTGAATCAACGGGTGATATTTATTAGTGAAGATTGTTTGTTAATCGTTACAAAACGCCGAAATGAACGTATCTTGCTTTATATTTGATGACAAATTCGACTCTGAATTACTGTTAATACCTAAGATTCGACTTTTAATATAGTTAAATATTAATTTTTACATGTTTAAATTACGGTATATTTCCATGCAATGAACTCGTGATCCTGAGTTTTCAGAATAAGACCGAAAGATTGCGTATGCATATACATATATCATATACATATATATGTACATCAAAGAGATTTGTCATATATCAAATTGTATATATCGAGATATGTATATCAAGATATATATATATCAAGATATATCAAGAGATTTGTCAATCATTTTCATATAATTATATCATAATTATGTGTCCTTATATAATATTAATAGAATCATCCAGTTTTAATTTGATATTTTTTAAAAATTGTATACGTAAATTTTTAATTCTCAGCTAACATTTTAATTGAGCAGCGTCGATAGTTCTCCATTTTTTGGAGTTTTGCGCTGTTAAAAATTTACTTTATAATATGTGGGAAAAAGATCTCGAGTTTGTTGTATTTTGTTTCATTGAGAATGCTAGATTTGTCGAATGTAAGAAATTAGCTTGTGATTAACATTACATATATATAAATTAATATATATCTCCATATTACAAAATGAATTAAGATTAAAGATTCGAGAATAATTCGGAGCATGTATATTTGTTAAAAGTTTTTGTTTAAAATTTCGTGCAATGAATCAATAAAATTTTTGTTTTATAATTGAAATGAACACGATGAAATATATATAGTTATTCGTTAAAAAAAGAAAATGCAGTATTATTGATTAAAAGATAGATATAACACGTTAACAATGATTATATTTTATGGAAATGTGAGAAATGAGTTATCACAGTAAGCCATATTGACGAAAACTTCTAAATTATATAATTACAAGAACTGACATCGTTTTTTGTCATTTTTTAGATTTCTGTTTTATTGTTGCTATCGATAATAACAAACCTTGCATTCTCTACAAATTTTCTGTGTGCTTATTTTGCAATTATCGCTCGTAATATTAATTAAATAACGAGCGAATTATAAAAATCTAGCTAATGACAAATCACGCATTTACCTAAGGTGTGCTTAGGCTGTGAATGTAATGGACTATTAGAGGAGTTTATTTGTACATAAATAAAGATTTACTCTATTAGAATGGAATGGATTAATGTAATATAAGATAACGCACTTCATGATTTCCATGTGAAATTATCAGTATACTGGATTTATTAATATATGCAAACAGAATTAACAATTGTAAACGCAGTGTGCTTGTGTACAGCATGGTGTTAGTATTATAAAAGAGCTGCGATCTGCTCGTTCGCAATTTCTTTGGGTGTCATACCATCGTTATCCGCTATATTTGACTCGGCTCCGATCGAAAGCAAGTACTTTACCGCATCTACGTGATCGCAACTTACCACGTAGTGAAGGGCCGTTTGCCCGTACTGATCCCGCGAGTTTACATTCGCGCCACTCTTAATCAAGTAATCCAAGATTCCGAGATAGCCGCGATCCGCAGCCCAATGTATGGGATGCATCCCCTCCTCGTCCGGTTTGTTGACGAGCGCGGGTTCGCCACTTAAAAATTCTCGCACCTTTGCCTCATTGCCCTCCTTGATCCAATCTAAGAACGTCTTGTCTTCATCGTTCAATTCTGCGCTTCCATACGACAGCTTACTAAAAACGATCCATTTTTGAGATCCGGCTTTTGTCTCCTCCTCGTCCCACGTCGGGTTTATTTTCTCGATCCCGTGGATGTAATTTGTCATCGCGGTCTCGCGGCTCATATCTCCAAGATTCTTCCATGCTTCCCACTTGTGCTTGGCTTGCACCTGGTACCAATTGGGCCTCGGGATATCGCATGGACCCACAGTAGCTTGTTTATACAAACCATAAAATGCAAGCAGCTGACCTGAATCTAATTCCGACACCAACGTTTGCAGATATTTGCTAGCTCTGTTAAATGTCTCCTCTAGATCAGTCAAGGGATCGCTTTCTAAGTCGCTCTCAGCCATCGTTATCAAACTCGCGTGATATACCTTCAATTGAACGTGTTACTCTGATCAGTTTCTTTTTTCTTGTATAAGACTAAATCTTTTCCTTCTAAAGAATGCTTACGTTCGAGCACGGCATTTATGCATTCCTTCTTTAAGAACGTTACATGTCCATAACCCTGATGAAGACCAGATATCTTATCGAACGCTACAAAAGCATTTTTCACACAACCGAACTGGGAGAAATACAGCCAGAGCTCGTGACGACCCACTGTCCAAGGAATATTAGTAATATTAATTGTGTATTTCCTGACCATGATAATAGAAAGAGATTGATTTGCTTATACCGCTCGTTGTATATCCAACAAATGTATCGTATGATCTTGCATCAACTCGTGTAAGTTAATATCAGGATTTGTACCGAGATTGTCCAGCGCTATGTGCATACACGTCAATCCCCACTTGTTCAATAGATGCTCTATAGACCAATCGGCACTGCGTTCCTGATAAGTGCAGAGAAATTTCGCACAGGGATTTTGCTCCAACAAAAACGCCACAATGACCACTATGTCCTCGAACACGGTAGGCTCGTAGAAACAGTCCGAACCAATGATTAAGTCCAAGTGTCCAAGCGAGAACAAGTTGGACAAGAATAAGCCCCAGGTGATGCCGACGATTTGGACTTGATCCGCAACCCCGTTCAACTCACAACACCTCTTGATGTGCTGCAGAGTTCTTGGTTGACTCGCCGAGTCGCTCAAGGTCACAATCGCGCCGCACTTGCTAGCGAGAATACCAGGAAGCGAAGTGCCGGCTCCTATCTCCAGAACCCGCTTGCCGACCAAATTTTCCCTGTGCTCCCAGAGATACCAGGCAAGCACAGGTGCGCAGGGCCAAGTATTGAAACTGTAATTAGCCTGCAGCAACTGAAATCAGTAATCACCAAACTTCTAATTGTGAAGAATGCTATACACAAAGGAAGTATTTTAAGAAAGTACTTTAAGAATTTTTGAATGATATTACATATAGAAAAGACTAAGCCGTAGTTCCATAAAATTAATGCAGAGTGATGTTTTGTTTCCTTGATTAATAGAGTGAACCATTTTAGTTTAGATTTCTTGCTTTCGAGAAAGAATTATGTCAAGCGTTGTGACTGCAGATATGAAGTCTTAAACGTGTCATTTGGCAGTGTAGGAAATATGATGATGAAAAAATAGTGTTGGATCAGGAACTGAGAGCGAGAGGTGTCTTAAGTTAATATGTATGAGTTTATTAAGGCTAGGATTGGTTTACGTTAAGAAATTATTTAAAACTATTTTTAATTTTATCAGAAAGATCAAGATTATTTGATATTTTAGGTGTGTATAACTACTTTATTCAAACGAAGTAGAGCAGAAGACATCTACTTTTCAAAAGTCACTCCAAAAAAATAGTAATCACTAGAGTTAGTAATCAGTCTATTGGTATGTGAACCAGAGTATTCACTGAAAACACCTAAAAACTTTATCTAGAGATTGAAACTGCTGAAACCCCCCCCTGAAAAACCTATCTGCTATCTGCAGGCTCAAGTTATGTAACAGTCATTTTGAAAAACTGATTTTATAACGACATAAAAATAACAACCTCTAAGGAAATATAAAATTATAAACAATAACAAACTGTACCCTCACACATTAATTTATCGGTTTAATAATCGCCAGCGTGTTGGAACAATAATGTTGACGCTCATTATGGATTCGTGAAAAATTCACAAAAAAATCTGCAGACTGGCAGTTTTGAAAAAGAAAAAAAAATGAATCGGAATAAAAAAAGTAAAAGAGAAAATAATTATCAATATGGCTCAATCAGAATAAATCAATAGTTAAAAGAAGGGCTACGAGCCAGTTACAACATAAAGAATATTTAATAAACTTTCATACATACAGACGTTTCGACACCGATCGGGTCATCTTCAATGTAAACACAAGCAATAATACATAAATTAACGGAATTTCGTAATATTCTTTGTGTTGTGACTGGCTTGTAGCCCTTCTTTTAACTATTAAAAGAGAAAATTTCCCGGAAATAATCGGAGGTCAACGAAATGATTTCTCGCGGAGAGCGATCTAACCAAGAAGCACGTAACACCGGTAGCGCGGCGCGTGCCGGAAATACTGCGGGCGTGCGAGGAACTCGCGCGCGAAGTTGTCCTCTTACCTCAGGTATGAGGATCTCCAGGCTCTCCTCGTGCTCGTCGTCTTGCGCACAGCCCTGCGCCTTTCGCGATCTGAAGACGAACCTTTTCACCACTTGCTCAGGCAACGTATGATCCCCATCGGACATTAGGGCGCGCGTGGGAGGTGGACTCGTGTCGTGCGAAATACTTCCCTCTAGACCGGGCATCACTGACGCGCCTCTCGGCACGCACTAATCATTTCGCATCGGGACCGCGTTAATTTACGCGCCCTCTGAATCGCCGGTATCCAGCGCGTCGCCGAGCGCGACACATCGAAGGGGATACGGATGGATATGGAGTATATGGACGTAGTTTTGTTGAGAGTAGTCGGAATCATTGGACTTCCCGCTCGATATGGCCGCACTTCCTGCCCTTATTCTCTCTCTCTCTCTCTCCTCCCCTCCCCTCCCCTCCCCTCCTCTTTTCCCCACACAGCAAATATGCAAATGAAATATTTATAAAATATTTCATTGTGTGATTTGAAATATTTTAAAAATTTTTGAAGTACATTGGTGGGTCAAGTCAAACCGGGACTTTTATTCTCATGAACATAAAAATAAAAAAGTCCCGGTTTGACTTGACCACCCACGTATTTCTGTGAAATATAATTATGTTAAAAAAATCAGAGCTTTTGCTCTGATTTTGATTGTAGTTAAAAGAAGGGCTACAAGCCAGTCACAACACAAAGAATATTACGAAATTCCGTTAATTTATGTATTATTGCTTGTGTTTACATTGAAGATGACCCGATCGGTGTCGAAACGTCTGTATGTATGAAAGTTTATTAAATATTCTTTATGTTGTAACTGGCTCGTAGCCCTTCTTTTAACTATTGATTTATTCTGATTGAGCCATATTGATAATTATTTTCTCTTTTACTTTTTTTACTCCGAAAATCAGAGCAAATATTCTTTTTGTTACAATATTTGTACAATGGTTCTAAAATATTTTTGTGAAATGTTTTAATTTAATAAATAAATATATAAATAAAACAAGTGCACGTATTAATGTAAAGATAATAAGAAATTAAATAAGGTCTGGAAATGTTTCACCGTATGTGATTTTCACTATTCGTAACTGAAGAAAGACCGGTGGTCCCGAAACGTATATTTTAATTTTTAATTTTGTATGTTGATTGAATAATTATTTAAATTTGTCATCTAACTTTAGCTCGATTACAAACCTTGTTTAATTTCTTATTATCTTTTAATTTAATATTTTTAAATGTTTTATAAATGTTTGCGAAATATTTCAAAAAATGATTCTCATTAATATTTCACGCTATATATGTGGATCCCGCATTATTAAAGATTTATAAATTAAAAAAAATAACATGACTCTTTATCCTCTTTATCCACTTAAATTAAAACGCATCTAAATATCTTTCAAGTTCAATTAAAAGAGTTTTTGTTGTTTTGCTTTAGTACATTATTTAGTACATATATTCAATTCCTTAAGTTTCTATATATATTACATATTATAATTTCTTGTTTATTTAAATCTAACAACTACATTTTTAATTTGTATGTGTGCGTTTAGAGCATATAAATCTTTCTGCTTTTCATTTCAGTAATGAACATAGGCGACACGATTACGTACTTTCCAATTATTATACAACCAAGTCGACACAAGCGCATGCAATTAAAATACTGCGTTCGACTGTATCGTTTTATATCATTTCACGAACATCAAATTTTTACATTTTATTATCATTTATTTTTCTAGAAGTGATACTCCAATAAGAGATTTAAAGATTATATTCGGTTACATTCGGATATAGATGAGACCTTTTTTTTATTTCACTCTGGTGATGAAATAAAAAAGCTAAGCAACATTTCAGTCAATACTGTGTTGCACAGTGTACAACTGTACATAGTGCGACACAGTAACACAGTGTGTTTCATTGCTAGAAAACACCAAAACTTATACCAAAAACTTTACAGCCATAAGGGGCTGCGCACAATAAAAGGAACAGAGAATAAGAATTTCAACCTTTCAGAAATCACGTATTGTGGAATACATAGTTTCTGATAGGTTGAAATTCTTATTCGCTGTTCCCTATTCCTTTCATTATGCGTAGCCCCTAACTACAAAGTGTTAGAAGAAATTTACACAGAGCTTATACAGCTTTCATATTTATATAGTAACTTATTCGCAACATCTGTGGCTTCTTTAAGATTTATTAATATCTCAACGATAGTTAGGCCGAAATCAAAAGCCGTTCCCGGTCCTCGGCTAGTTATGAGATTGCCTGTAAAATTATTGAAATCAATATCAATGGGAATAAAATAGAGAAATCAAGTTCTTAGAGATTGCTAATTGACTTGGAAATTGGATTACTAATATTAATAAATATGTGGTAAATCAATTATTACCATCAACCACCACATTCTTATCATCCTGATAGTCATAGTAGTCACACAAATCTCTTTTCATACTTGGATAAGAGGTAATTCGTTTTCCTTTGCTGATATTATGTGCTTTTAAAGCTGTAGGGGCTGCACAAATAGCCGCTATTAATTTGTTCTCCTTGTTCTGCTTTTGTAACAACTTCCCAACCTCCTCTGACTAACAAGACAAATTTTATTAGCTATCCTTACATCATAATAAAATCAGACACTGTCAAACGAACTTACAGACGTAAATGTTTTAGCTCCACCGAGACCGCCAGGCAAAACAACAATGTCGTAACTCTTCTCCTGAACGTCATTAAATAAAATATCTGTGCAGATCTTGACGTCGCGGCTGCATTTTATACAATTGCTGTTCTGTACACCAGCTGCAGTTACTGCAATCTATCCAATCACATTTCAATAGTTATCCAGGTATGTTAATTTGTTTAATTAGCAAATAGTATCTTTTGCTCTTCAATAATAGTTGTAAATTGATATAATTAAAGATGACATACAATCATCAAGCTCTTTATTATCATGAGCAATATTTAAAAATATTCAAAAATAATTGCCACATAAAATGCACAATTTCTTTTAAAAAGATTGATTAAAAATTACATAAACAAATATATATATATATATATAGATATATCTCGCTCATTTTCTACTATAATGACATTGCTTGAAAATTATCATTTTGTGATTGCTTATAAAAAAAAACAGAAATATAAAGAAAAAAAAAATTCCTTTACAGTTATACTAAAATTATATTTCAAAATTAATATTATTAAAAAACTTTAGTGATGAGCAATATATATGTACATATATATATATACATATATGTGTATATGTATAATGTAGGTATATTGGATGCTTTCCATTTGGTGACACAAATTAGTAAAAATGTCACCCTATTTCTGTTAATCACCAAAATGCCAAAATAGATAGAGTTTATTTCGAATTTGTATCACCAATGCCAAATTTCTTCACTTCCAGATAAGTTGCGGATATCCTTATCCAGGAAATATCTCCATTGTATTCTGGGAGATATCTTGGATAAAGTTATCTATAGGAAGAAATTGGGCATAAATGAAAAGCATCCATTCTGTATAATACATCTTGTAGTTTAATTTCTGTAAAGAATCAAGAGAGTACCATGAGAGAGGGAATTATTAGGCCTGTTCTTTTTGGCTGAACTTTTGTACCAGTTTATCTTTCTTCCTTTTCTCTATAGAAGGAAAGAAGCCAAAAAAAATAGTCCTATTGATCATTATTTTGGAGCGTCAAATACAAAAAGATCCCGATAAGCGTCAGGTGATGAAATGTAACATGAAATGCCCCTTCAGAGCAATAAAAAAACAAGGAGAAGTAATGAACATATGTTGCTTATTTCCTGCCAAATGGATTATCGATCGCCTGACGTACCCCGGCGCGTCGTAAGACGTCGATAGTTATCACAGCCTCCATTTCCTCCGTTCCATCGGCGAGCAACACCAATGCGGTTTTCACTTCGTTCTTTACATTTGCCATAACGTATGTGCGTATTCTACGGAATAACGTCAAACTTGGTAAAACTTCTACTTTATTTAAGTAAGGAGGATGGAGAGGACTTCGAGAGAGAAGTCGAGAAAAGTTGCGTATTCGGGGAAGTCTGTTCAACATGGTTCAATTGCTGGATTTACCCTGCATCTGATTTTCGTCTTATGACGCTCTACAGCCAATCAGAAAACAGGATTCCGATAATACGAAGCAAAATTCATCGGAATCCGGTTTTCTGATTGGTTGCAGAGCGTCATACGACGAAAATCGGATGCAGTGTGAATCCAGCATATGGATTCCGTCCTTACGTTTCGTAAGTCCGGATCTACAATAGGTGTGTTTTAAGACTTAAGCTGTAAGAAATTGACCAATTACAGTAAAATCTGAGGGGAATAATTGACTGTGATTCGCCCATTTCTTATGGCTTAAGGCTTAAAACCCTATTTTAGATCCGGAGTAAAGCGGGGAGCACAGACTCTTGCATAACGCATAACACGTAATGCATAAGAAAATGTACCAATCAAAGCCCTCCGTTTCCTTCCTTTCCATGAAATAAAGAATTCTGATTGATTGAATTTCTTATGCATTACATGTTATGCGTTATGCAAAAGTCTGTGCTCCCCGCTTAAGGCCGAAATCAGACTACGCATTGAAGATTGAGATCGAAGATTGAAGATTGCAATTTGACCAATGAGGGCAAAGAAATTTTAGCTCCTATTGTTTTGATTGGTCAAATTTCAATCTTTCAATCTTCAATCTCAATCTTTAATGCCTAGTTTGATTCCGGCCTAAGAAAACTTTCATGAGAATGAGCCATGGTTGAGCAATGGGTGCATTTAGTACTACAATCGCTCAACGAGCGCTCAGTGAGCGCTTGCATTTTATTGGCACATTCCGTTAGAACTAAAAATATAGACCAAACAGATACGAGAGCTCATTGAACGCTCAGTGAGCGGTCGTGGTACTGAATGCACCAAATGACCGCTTTAAGGTAAATTTTCACGAGCTGCTTAAACAAGCTATTTCAGCGACACAAAAAGAAACACGTAATCAATATTGACGAATGTCAAGCATCCATTTTGTTCACGTGATCCTTTTTGTCGCTGAAACATCCGGTTTGATCAGCTCGTGAAAATTTATCTTTAAGGTACATTTTCAACTCAAACCGACTGTTTCATCGACAAAAAGGATTACACCAAAATTGGTAAATATCAAGCATTCAATTTTGATCACGTGATGCTTTTTGTTGGTCAATTGCAGATGAAAGCAGCAGCTCGTGAAAATGTACTTTTATACAAACGCGCTAAACTTAAATTATTCTGATCGATCGATCCCCCTTATATTACTTTTCCGAGATTCCAGTTGTTAGAGTTGGACAATTTAAAGTATTTAGACGCTCAAAGGAGACATAAAACAAATATAAAAGCGCTGAAAATTCAAATCGAACGTACCTCGATTTCTCGAAATTCCGACTGTCGCGAGCGTCATGAGGATACACCTTAAACGCTTATAGCGCATAAGCGAACAAACCGAACGCAGCTGTAATAATTCCAATTTGGCGTCCTATGCCGCGCATTTCATTGGTCGACACACATTAGCCAACGTAGCAATAATCTCGACGTAAAATTCATCCGGAAAACCGACACAAGACCTTAAATAAAGATCAAAGATATCTCAAACGATCTTTATAAACGATCAAGCGGATGCGAAGCGAGATGATAATAAACAGAGAAGTATTATACGCTTCCCAAGGTCGGAGTCGAAATTTGAACTTCAAAGTCGCGGGCAAAATCGGCACTGTTTCTCGAGTACGGCCAGTCGCGTCGCTACCGTTCGCCGCACTATGGCCGTCGCGTTCGGGTGTTGTGGATACTGAACTTGGGCAGGAGGTACGTGAGGAATCGCGGCAGCCGTCGCAGTCATCGTCGTCGTCGCCGCCTCCGTCAAGTGGGGCCTTTCCTCGCGTGGAGTCGCACCAGCCCTCCGCACGTCGTCGACCGCGCTCGCGCGCGCGTTGGCCGCCCTGCGATCGTCACACGGAACGCGTGAGGTGCGAGGCGCAATCGTCCTCGGGGGAAACGATGACGCGTGCACATCGCTGAGGGAGGCTGCCGCCGGAGCGCGGGGACGAGGACAGCACGGGTGAGTTCGCGGAGTCAACCCCGGAGGATCCCCCCCCGCGGAGGCCACCGCGCCGTGTGTGGACGCGACGCGACAATCGCGTCGAGTCGATCCGATCTCGATCGCGCGTGACAATATTCGCGAGCGTGCGCGCGCGCGCGCGCTCGCTCGTTCACGCGGCGCATTCGTGAGGAATTTTCACACCTCCGCCGCGAGAAATTCGAAATCCGCGATCGAGAATCACGACTTTGACCGTCGCGATCGTCCTCCTCGTCGAAGGCGTTCGAGCTTGCGCGCTTGTTAATTAGCCTGTTTGCCGCTTTCACCGTGACTCAAGACCACGAAGGAGAGAGAAAGAAAGAGCATGTGTGTGCGCGTGTCAGTGTGTGAGAGAGAAAGAGAGAGAGAGTGAGAGAGAGAGAGAGAGAGAGAGAGAGATAGAAAGAGAAACTTAATGTGAGACATGTAGGTAGTAAAATTCTTTGAATTATATATTATATAATTCAATATGTATAAAATATAATCTAATATAATATATAATTGAATCATATAATATATAATTGAATTATATATTATATAACAGATTACACAGACTGATCTTCTATTTTTGTAAATTACTTTATATATTAGTGATCTAGAAATATATCGCGATTTATTTCTTGTTATTTATTTCAGTTTGTAGAGCTTAAGAGGAATCGGTTGGGGTAGATATCTTGCATTTGTGCTTTGCATCAGGAAATTTTTATTTGATTTGGAGCTATATCTGTAACCTAACTAATATTTGTAACTTACACTGGAATTTTATTGATACCTGACTCGAGGATATTCATCAACACGTACGATAGATTCCTAGATATGAGCGTGACAGTTTTGGAACAACGACGCTTTCCGTATGTTTTCATTTGATACCAGCAAATCAGTAGTATGCAAATACGCTAGGTTTACCCTAAGGCTGTAAAAAATTATCAAGAGTTCCATTACATTATCTCTGTAAATAAGGCGCCAATGCATACATGTAGTTTTCTTATCTTTTACAAAGATACCGAGGCGAGCATGTTAGCAGTATATGTTTTTGCCATATCGTCTTTCAATCATATTGATGGCATAACTATACGGTTCAGGGGGTGGATGATAGGAATTTACTGAAAATCCAAGATCAAAGCCATTCAAAACGCTGGAGAAAGACGGAGGAGCTTCGGAGGAGGGGGAGATGTCTGCTGGCACCCAGGGCGAGATTCGGGTTGGCCCTTCTCATCAGGTTTGCCATATATATCTTGAAAAACTTTCTTGCTAATTAATTGTTATGCACAATGTGCCTATCTCGAGGCTTGCTATTAGTATAAACATTTGTTGCAAGGTAAAGGACGTGTGTGGATACAATCTCGAATTATCATTCTCCCCACATTAATCGATCATTGTTACGTAATCATTTTATATGTGTAATTATTACAATTTTATGAGTGCTTTTCATTTAGTAACTCAAGTCGACACAAACATTCTATTTTTTTGTATTCCAGTGAGTAACAAAGATAGAACGACACTTGTGGTGATTTATGTCACCGAATGGAAAGCATCCTATGTGTGGATCAAAAGTCTTTTGTGTATTATCCCAAATAAGAGCGGGAACACAGTCTTGCATAACGCAGCATAATGCGTAAGAAAATAAACCATTTATGCCCGTTTCCACCAATGTAGATTAACTTTAATCTCTGTTCAACTTATCTTCTTTATCTTTTTCTAATCTTTAGAACTGGAAAAAGATAAAGAGTAAATTGAATCGAGATTAAAGATAAAGTTTGTTCTTTTTCGAAGAATTCTGAACTAGTTTTGAACCATTATAATGAATTGAAGTGGAACAAACTATAGCTGTCTCACTCTAACTTATTGCATCAATGTACACCAGTTCAGAACTTGGGGTGGAAAAAGAATAGACCTTCAATCTATATTTATGGAAATAGGCGTCCTTCATTTCCTTTTCTATGAAATGAAAGACGCTGATCGGTTGATCTTATGTTTTATACGTTGTGTATTATAACACATGCTAATCTACATAATCCATGCTGGATTAAATGATTTTGGAATCATGCTAGCTGTCTTGAAAATAATATACAATTATAATGTACAATTATGAGAAAAGCTATTCGTGCATCTACATTAGAGAGATAATTGCATTTCTCATTGCATCAAGCAAACTGTAATTCTCCAGTTTTAAAGTGATACAGATTGTTTCTTGAACAAAGAAAGATTATGGGGATCTTCACACGCTCTTTACATCAATGAATCAGATAAATGTAAACAAATGTAAAAAGAACTGCACGTTCACGCGTGTACGTGGCCTACATGTGTACGTACGTACACATGTTTAAGCAGATACGCACGCGCGTACGGATAGTTCGAAAAGTAATGCAGAAAAATGTACTCTGCGGAGGAACATTACGTAAATATATATATACGTGTGTAATCTAATCTGAAAAGTATGAAGTACGCGGATCAGTCTTAAAGTTTCTCAACAATAAGACCGATAAGGTATGTACTCGGGATCGGCATATAAGCATTCCATGCAGAAACTTCCATTTCTTTCGCATCGCACGCTAACTCCGAATATTTCCTGCGACAGTAAATGTCACGTGTTTAATGTAAATCCGAGGATATTCTCGTGAGGGGACACTTTATGGTAATCGGGGAACATTTAAGCCGCGAAAGACATATCGACACGTTTAAGTGGCAGTTTTATGTAAAACTTTTAAAAATTATTACCAAGATAAGATCGGACTCTCACGCATTCCGGTTCCCATCCGATGGTTCAACTAACGCATCACGCATTAAAGAGCTTCGAATGTTTCAGGTGTAGACCTCGTCTCGTCTGCAATACATGAAATGTATTCGTTAAGCTCTCCTGCGATACTTGTTGTATCACACGAACGATCGCCGTGCTCGGCGAATAAGCCGGCGGAAAGTCTTTCTTTGCAAGCGGCAACGCGCGGTGCGTGAAATACATACTTGGGAGCCGATGCATAAAGGTG